ATGTTCTCAACGGATCGCTCTGGCCAAGTGGATACCGTTCCGAAGCGCGGAACAGAAAGTCGGTGGTTCGACTCCCACCGGGTCCGATTGATCGAAACATCGCCTCACACGTCGATCATCGAGGCCAGTCGCAAGTCGCGGCGGGAAGCTGACTTTTCAAAATTCTATCACATGGGTACAATTTTTATTTTTTTTCGTGGAACCCACAGTGTCTCCGCGATGTCTCTGTAGTGTCTCTGCGGTGGCTCCGCAGTGTCTCAGCGTTCGCTCCACGATGTCTCCATGTTGGCTCCCAGTTGTCTTTGAGATGGCTTTGAACTGTCTCCAAGACGGATCTAAAGTGTCTCTGATAAGGCCTAAGTTTGGCTCCAAGGCGGCACCGGGATGTCTATTTTAGGCCTTAAGTTTCCGTTCGCGGAGCCATCCGCGATGGCTCCGGCCCGACTACCTAGAAGCTGTAGAGTGCTCACAGCGGGACTTTGCGATGCGTCGAGAATGGCTCCGCCGGAGCCATCCTAAAGCTACTTTTTTCTGTACGGGATTGATAAGGCAAAATAACATCTGAAAATAATGGCGTGAGTCTCTCCTTACGTCCCCGTCGTTCGTGCTGGAAACACAATAACGTGTGTTGCAAAATCTCGTTGACTGTGGCCAAAAGGAGGAATAATGCACGAACAGTTACAAGCTTACTGGACATCAGTTGAGGCTAAGGAAAAAGCATGAAATTCGGTTGGCTTTTACTGGTCTGTGCGTGGTTGGGGCACCGACTTAACTTGTTTAACTTGGGTAACGATAATAATTAACCCTTATCCATTTGCAGAAGGGAGGAGGCACAATTGGTGGACGGCCTTCACCGGAGGGTGCGGGGCTGGGGCACCTCTTAAACGTGCTGCTTAGTCGAGCTGCACAAAAAAAGAACTGATCGCTAACAATACAGTGCAGTACAAAGTTTCTACGTTCCCGTCGTCTGTGCTGAAAACTTTGTGTTTGTCAAGTGTGTGCTCGCTGACCCAAAGGCCAAAAGAAACTTGAAAAATACTGTGCTTTTAACTCTGAGTGCAAGTCTGTGAGTCTGTACCTAGCACTTCGTGCTGGTATTGTCGGCTTCGCCTCAGAGATGTCTTCGCAAAGTGATAACTGCGTCTCGCTTGAGACAGAAAATGTACAATTTGATGCAGTGTGTGCCTTTCACCTTTCTGATGAAAATGATGCACTGTTCTCAAATCTTCCCCTCCAGGACGAGGGAGATGACTCTGGTTATAGGCCATTGACACCATTCACACCAAATAGAGAGGTGTTACCGTCACCTTCCCCCGAGGTCTTACCGTCAGCTTCTCCTGACGGAGAATCTATGACGTCTCTCGAAGAGGAACGGCTTGCTGAAGAGAGTTTGGAAGACGATCCTGGCTCTCAACCTGCTAGAGAATCTGCTAGAGAGGGGGCCGAGAAAAACATGGTCCCTTTTGTTCGTCTTGTCAGAGATCCTTACGTCGAAAAATTTGCAGAAGCAATGCAGAATACAAGCCAAGATGTCAAACTATTCTTGTCTCCAAAAGTAATTTTGGAGCGTGACTGTAAACTCGATGAAAGGGCAAGAAATTTGAGGAACAAAAGTAAACAAATTGTTCATTTAAAACCAAAATTGAAAATTGTTAAAAAAAAATCAAAAAAACGAAAACGTTAAAAAAAGTGTGAATCAAGGAAATGATAGTTTAATTTTAAAATTGTGCCATTTGATTTAATCGAGAGCAGATTAAAATGATTTTATGTTTGTCAATGACTGTTAATAAATTATATTTACTTCGAATAGTGGCACAGATCTGAGTTTCTACGTCCCCGTCGTCTGTGCTGTTCACTTTGCGTGCCAGTCTGTGAGTCTGTACTTGTATTTGTGTATACCTGTGCTGTCGGCTGCGCATCAAAGGCCAAGCGAAACTCTTATAAAACTGCGTGTTGTTTTAAGCTTTAGTCTGTGAGTCTGTACACGTCACTTCAGTGCGTGTATTGTCGGCTGATCTTGAAAAGGCGCTTAGTTTACCGATTACGAATAAAATACTTTTTTTTTGGTTAGGAGCAAAGTTTTGCTGCAAAGAGTTCTTTATTTGTCCATAATTCACCATGGGCCTGATTGAATTAGATGGTTTTGTGTACAGAATACACAATGTTCCAGGCGATGGAAACTGTATGTTTTCTTCCTTATCAACTTGTCTTTACGGACACATTTTACGAGGTCCAGAAATCAGAGAACGAGTCGTTGCATATGTTTGTGACAGATGGGACGAACTTCAATGCCGTACTTCCAAAAGCAACAACAAGCCTTATGAATGTTTGCTTGAATACCGTAAGTTTGCATGCAGTTAAAATTAAGCTTTCAAAACTGTTCGGTTTCGTTACTAACACAAAAATTTTTATGATTGCAGGCGAAGCCATGCTGGCTTCGGGAACGTGGGGTGATGCCGCAGAGCTAACGGCAGCGGCCTGCATCTTTGAAGTCCACATAACTATTGTTGAAAGAAAAGGGAGCATTGTTTCAGCACAATTTACACCAGAAGACCATGCCAGCAAACATTCTTCTATTTTTCTGTATTTTGATAGGGGGCGGCAGCATTACAGTGCTCTTATCCACGAACCCAATCCGATGGAAGTTTCACAACCAAGTGACACTCCCTGCATCAAAGTTGACTTGCCAACGCCCCCTTCTTCGCAGGAAAACTTTTCTGACCATGAGCCCACAGTGACAGGGCCCATACGAATTGGAGCAGAAGGAAGCCGCTCTTGCTCAGTTAAACTTCTGTCAGGTAGGTTAATAATCGGATATGAACTGAGTCTTACAAACGAAAGCAGACTTCCACTAATACTAATTTTATGTTTCAGGTCAAGTGACATCGAGGCATTCTTTGGAAATGGCTCACGGTACGTTCAGGACACACCACATGTGGGCCCTCATGTATGCCAACGAGCCTGTGGAAAAAATTGAACGGATAAATCTGGGTGGACTGACAGCTTCTTGTCCGACTTGTGGGGCTATTTACTGGCAGGCAGAGCACCTCGCTAATGTGCGATGCAACGAGCTGCCCTTCTGGTGTTGCGGCAAAACAACAAAAACGCTTCTTTCTGAAACGGCAACGTTTTCACCGATAGAAGACGATTATATACGTGAATTGTACTATGGGAGCTCAAAGTGTGCTGAACACTTTCGAAAAAACATACGTTCGTATAATGCTGTGCTTAGCACTGCTATGCCCAGAGTAGCTTATAACAAAGCAGGAAAGACGGCAAAGACCGTAACCGTTGGTGGTTCTATTTGTTTTAATGCGCCTTCCTGTCCAAATATTCAGGATTCAGGCCTACCTGCACATCACGGTCAACTCTATTTTCTAGATATGACGCGGGATACGGTTCAGAAGAGAATGAGTGCGTCAACGAACAGGGAAATACGAGAAGATATTTTAAGTGAACTTGAAAAGTACCTGAGAGCACACAACGGTTTAGTTCGAACTTTTGAATATGCAAGCCAGGTTCAGAAACGAATACAGCTAGAGGAAGGCGAGGACTCTGCATCACGTGTTGCCGTTGTTGTAAATCCTCATCGAAATGGCATGCGTGGGACCGGGAGAGAGCTGTTAACAAACGAGGCACCAGACCTTCTACGCCCAAATGACTCCGAGTGTGTTGCAGCTGTTATCGTAGGGTCTGAGATACGCTACTCATACGATATGGTCTTCCATCTTCGTGCGAGGACACACAAGGACCCTTTGTACATGGAAGTGCACTTGGCCAGCCCAACGCTCGATATGATGCTGTATCCGTTGATCCATCTTCACGCTGAAGATTCTTGGGTCCAAAGGGTCATTGCAGATAACAGAAAAAGGAAAAGAAACGTGGAGATGGGCACTTTACGGGAATACTACAGCTCTCGAATTATGATGCGAAGAGGCCAGGATATTCTCTTTCGCTGTAAAGGATTGTTTCAGCAGTATCTTCTTGACGCCGCTCTCAAAATTATGGATTCGAATTTGAATTATTTTAGAGACAACCAAGATGAACTTCAAGTTTGCCAATACGATACTCTCAAAAGGTACACTGAATCGGTTGCAAAAAAATACAATAAGCAGCCTGGTCGGACCGTGTTAATGCCAAAGGGAGAGCAGAAAAGTGAGCGGTCTATGTACAATTACTACATGGACTCTGTTCGGATCGCTATGGAATATGACCCACCGACTCTTTTCATTACCTACACGGTAAACCCAAGGTGGCCTGAAATTGTACAGGGTCTTAGTGAGCGTAATTTAAAGCCTGATGAATACATGGATGCTCCCGACATTGTTGTGCGAGTCTTCCTTGCTCGTCTCAACGTCTTTTTGAGTGACATTATCCACAAGTCCGTCTTTGGACGAGTCAAAGCGTACATAGGGGTAACAGAATTCACTTCGACCATGCTCCCCCACTATCACTTGGCAGTCATGTTGCATCCCGTCGACCGCCCAGAGTCTGCGTGCGAGGTTGATGCATTGCTGAGTGCTGAGATCACTGACCCTGAAACAGACCCTGAAGGCCATGAACTTGTTGTGGCAGTCATGATCCATCGTCCATGTGATGGTTCTTCAGAGGGTTACAAGCCCATTTGCCGCCCAAATGGAGGACCGTGTAAACACGGGTTCCCTAAACCGTTTCGGTCGTTCACACATGTAAACAGGAATGGTCACATCCCAAGGCGAAGGAAAACTCGTGGGTTCTTCCACGCTAAATTTAAGTGCATGGTCGACAACCGGTGGACGGTGGAACACAATTTAAGAATATTGAAAAGGCATGGTAACCACGTCAACATTAGATGCTGTTCAGAAACTATATTCTTTAAGTACCTATTTAGCTACATGCAAAAAGAAACGCATGGACAGCACATGCAAGGAAGTGTGTTACGGCACGCTCTGGGAAAAGGTGAGGACGTCTTGCATTGGGACGAAATTGAGGCATTCAAGGAACTGCGAATAATAGGAGCCTATGAGGCCGTTTACAGAATTCTAGGAAGGTCTTTTGTTGATATGAGCCACAAAGTAGAGTCCCTACCTATACATCTGCCCGACATGCAACAGGTTTATTACAGGGGGGATCCCGAGCTTGCCGCTCGATATGAAAACAGCAAGCTGCTAGCCTTCTTTAAATTAGCGGAAGAAGAAGACGACGTAAAGTCAATGCTTTATCAGGATATTATTGCACATTTCAAGTGAGTCGAAAATGCATTCTTTTGTCTTTTGCGTTGAGCTTATTTTGTTTTGTTACACTGCTAACAGTTATTTTTTGTTACAGATGGGAGTCAGGGAAATGGAAACGTCTTAGTAGGAGTGTCCCAGCCCTTGGCCGGATGATGCACGTAAATCCATCACTTCGGAACAGAGAACTCTACCACCTACGCCTGCTTCTCCTTCACATTCGTGGACCTACATCATTTCTGCAGTTGCT